GGAGTAAAGCTGAAAGCTTTTTCCTTAAGAAAAGGAACAAGACAAGGATGCCCCCTCTCACCACTCCTGTTTACACAGTAATGGAAGTACTAGCCAGAGGAATCATGCAAGAGAACAAAGTAAAGGGCATCCAGATTGGAAAAGACAAAGTCAAACTGTCCCTTTTTGCATATGAAATGATTCTACATATAGGAAAACCTGGAGATTCTTTAAAAAAAAAAAAAAAAACTCAGAGCTAGTAAAAGATTTCAGTAAAATTGCAGGATACAAAATCAATACACAAAAATTAGCGTTTTTCTCCTCCAATAACAAACTAGTAGAAGGAGAAATCAAGATAGCAAGCCTGCTTATAGTAGTCACCAAAAAAATGAAATACCTAGGAATCAATTTAACCAAGGAGACAAAAGACCTCTATAAAAAGAATTACAAATCACTGCTGAAAGAAATTAAAGAGGACACAAAAAGATGGAAAGACATTCCATGCTCTTGGATTAGAAGAATTAACATTGTAAAAATGTCCATACTACCCAAAGCAATCTACATGTTTAATGCAATCTCCATCAAAATACCAATGACATTCCTCACAGAAATAGAAAAAATAAACAACATTCATGTGGAACAACAAAAGACCTTGAATAGCCAAAGCAATCCTGAGCAAAAAAAAAAATCAAGCCACAGGCATAACACTACTTGACTTCAAATTATACTACAAAGCTATAGTAACTAAAACAGCATGTTACTGGCATAAAATTGGACACACAGACCAATGGAACAGAACAGTGAACCCCAAAATAAATGCATATATGTACAGCCAACTGATCTTTGACAAAGGCCAGAAAAACATATATTGGGGGAAAGTCTGCCTCAATAAATGGTGCTAGGGAAACTGGTCATCCCTATGTAGAAGAATGAAACTAGAACCATACCTCTCACCATATACCAAAATCAACTGAAAATCGATTAAAAACTTAAGTGTAAGTCCTATAACTATTAAAGTCCTAAAAGAAAACATAGGGGAAATCCTTCTGGATATAGGACTGGGCAAAGACTTTATGAATAAGACCCCAAAAGCACAGGAAACAAACAAAAAAATAAGTGTGATTATATCAAAGTACAAAGCTTCTGCCCAGCAAAAGAAACAATTAACAGAAAAGACAGCCTACATAATGGGAGAAAATATTTGTAAACTATGCATTTGATATGGGGTTAACGTCCAGAATATGCAAAGGATTCAAACAACTGTCAGAAAATAAGTAACTCTATGAAAAAATGGGCAAAGGAACTAAATAGGCATTTCTCAAAGGAAGATATATAGATGGCCAACAGATACATGAACAAATGCTCAACGTCACTAAGCATCAGGATAAATGCAAATCAAAACCAAATTGAGATATCATCTCACCCTGTTAGACTGGCTATTATCTAAAGGACAGATAATAACAAATGCTGGCAAGGGTGCAGAGAAAGGAGAACCCTCTTAGACTGTTGGTATGAGTGTAAGGTAGTGCAGCCATTATTGAAAACAGTGTGGAGGTTCCTCAAACAACTACAGATAGAACTGCCATACGATCCAGCAACCCACTACTGGGTATATACCCAAAGGAATGGAAGTCATCATGTCAAATTGATACCTGCACCCCCATGTTTATTGCAGCTCTATTTACAGTAGCCAAGAGTTGGAACCAACCTAAATGTCCATCAGAAGATGACTGGATAAGGAAAGTGTGCTATATATTGTCAATGGAATACTACTTGGCCATAAAAAGGAGTGAAATTCTGCCATTTGCAGCAATGTGGGTGAAACTTAGAAAAATTGGTTAAGTGAAATAAGCCAACCACAGAAAGAGAAATACCACATGTCCTCACTCATAAGTGGGGGAAAATAAATAAATAGAAAAGAAAGAAACAACGATCACAATACTATGCTGAACTTTCAAGAAAAAAGAGAAGTGTGGTTATGAGAGGTGGGAAAGTGGGAGGGAGAGAGGACTTAGTGAGAAATTGGTTAGGGGTCACAAAGATTGATTAGGTTTTATAAACATGAGTGTATTAATTATCCTGATTTGATTACCACATATTGTATACTGGTATTGATACTCAAATCTGCACCTCACAAATATTTATTATCAATTATGTTTCAATAAAAAAAACTGTCGAAAAAAAAGTCCTAGGAATAACACATGGTAGAATTTGTAGGTAGGAGTATTAAATGAATTATAAGATATTCCATATGTTTGAGAAGGTAGAGGAAACTTTGAGCTTGTTAATAACCTGGAAGATATAGAACAGACCCAAATCAAACTCTGTGCAAGAAAATTATAGTCTCTGAGTGAGATTAACAGACTAGAGATGCAAAAGAAAAGATTAGCAAACTTGAAGATGTAGCAGTAGAAAGTATTGTCAATGAAACACACACAAAGACTGAATAAAAATGAGTGGACAATTAGTAAGTTGGGACAACTTCAGGTGGCATAATATATGATTAAGTCCCCATAGGAGAGGAGATAGCAGAAGGAACAGAAAAATATTTGGAAAATAATAGCCGAAAATTTTCCAAATTTTAATGAAATGGTAAACCCACAGATCCTAAAGTTCAGCTGATTCTTTTTTTTTTTTTCCTTTTTGTCTTTTTTACTGACCGGTAACGGGATCGCAACCCTCAGTGTCGCGCCCGTACCAGGACCGGCAACGGGATCGCAACCCTTGGTGTTGCGCCCACACCGCGCTCAGCCAGTGAGCAGGAACCGGTCTCCACATGGGATCCGAACCCTCGGCGGGAGCGCCGCCGCGCTCTCAAGCGGCACACTCTCCAGTGCGCCACCGGGCCGGCCCAAGTTCAGCTAATTCTAAGCACAAGAAAAATGAAGAAGATTACACTAAGGCACATAATTGCTTAAAATCAGTGATTGAGAGAAAATCTTAAAAGCAGCCAGAGGAAAAGAAAACATGATGTGAAGATTAAATATGAGTATGAGAGAGAGAGCAGACTTCTGATAAAGGACTTTTCAGAAATAGAACATTGCCAAAGCAGTTTAGAATTGCCAAGAATGTTAAAGGAAGTCCTTTAATTAAAAGGAAGAGGATTCCAGATGGAAGTCTGTGTCTGCACAAGGGCAAGAAGAGAATTGAAAGTGTTAAATATGCAGACAGATGTGATATACTCTCTCTTATTAATCTCCATGGAAGATGGTTGTTTAAAGCAGGAGTAACAACAGTGTGTTATTTGGTTTACAATCAGCATTAAGTATACTATAAAAAAAATAACCGAGCATGAAGGTCTGGAGGTGTTCTTCTGCTGCACACAAGGTGATGTTAGTTAAGATGTGTACTGTGCATCCTAAACCATGGTCAAACAGCAACAGAAATGTGTGGTATGCTGTTAAAGCAGTGCTTAGGGGGAAATGTAATGAAATAAAAGCTTCTCTTTCAAAAGAAGAGAGGTCTCAAATTGATGATCTCAGCTTCCACTTTAAGAAAAGCAAATTAAAGCCACACTAAGCAGAAGAAAGGAAACAATAAAGATAAATGCAGAAATTAATGAAATAGATAACAAATAAGAGAAAAATCTCTGAAAGAAAATGTTTTAAAATAATAATAGGGTATAATAATAATAATAGACTGAATAATAATAATCAGGCTATTCAGGAAAAAAATGAGAGAATACTCAAATTACCAATAACAAGAGTGAGAGAGTAGTCATAACTACATATTCAGTGGACTATTAAAAGAAGAATAATGGAATAGTGTGGACAACTGTATGCCAATAAATTTAACAATTTAAATAAACTAGACACATTCCTTGAAAGACAAACTACCAAAACTCACTCAAGAATAAATAAATTTCCTCAGTAGGCCTATATCAACTAAATTTAAATTGTAGTTAAAACCTTCTCACAAAGAGGGCCGGTCCGGTGGCGCACTGGAGAGTGTGCCGCTTGGGAGTGCGGTGGCGCTCCCGCCGAGGGTTCGGATCCCATGTGGAGACCGGTTCCCACTCACTGGCTGAGCGTGGTGCGGGCGCAACACCGAGGGTCGCAATCCCGTTGCCGGTCAGTAAAAAAAGACAAAAAGGAAAAAAAAAAAAACTTCTCACAAAGAAAACTCCAGGTCCATCCAGATGATTTTACTTATTTATTTTATCAAATATTTAGTCAAGTTATAATACTAATTCTATATACATTCTTCCAAAAGTTGAGGAGTTGGGAATACTTCCTAATTAAGTGATGTCAGCATTTAACTGATATTAAAGTCAGACATCACAAGAACAGAAAGCTATAGTCCAATATTTTTATGACTGTAGCAATATATAAAAAGATATACATCACAACCATGTGAAATTTAACCCAGGGATGCAGAATTGGTTTAATGTTTGAAAAACAATCTGTAATTTACCAGGTTAACAGACTAAGAAAAATCACATGATCATCTCAGCAGATGCAGAAAAAACACTTGACAAAATTCAATGTCCATTTCTGATTAAAAAACAAAACCTCTGAGCAAATTGGTGATAAAAGAGAATTTCTTCAAACTGACAGATTTTATTTATGAAAAACAGTATCTTACTGGCAATTATGTGGGAAAATATATTGATATCTATGATTATATTTCCATTTTACCCTGAAGTTCCCTAAATAATATTGTAATGTTAGATTGTGTGTATTAATAGATTTTCTTATTTACTTTGTAGGAGTTAGAACATGGGATTTTAAATAAGCCAAAAAGTAACATCAGTAGATCATTGTAGCTACTTTCACTTAAAATTTTTCTTTTAGTGTAAACGTGGTTTCATTGTAAAGGTGATACATATTTTTATATCTGATATATTTGTTTTGCTATGGCTTCTTAAAAAATCTTTTATTTATTTCCCATATTTATACTTATTATAGTCCCTCCTACCAAAATAAATCCTTATTATCATTTTTCTCGTGGACACATTGTTTATATAGTCACTGAATTGAAGTATATCTAATTTCTACTGGTTTTTTTTCCCCTTTGTTTAGGAAAACATAGAACCACTTCAGGTATCATTTGCCGTTCTGAGTTCTCCAAATAAGTCTCCAATCTCTGAGACTCTTTCAGGTAGTAACTTTTGTTTATCTTATAATCACATATGTCGTTTTCAATATGTGTATATGTGAAACTCAATCTACTTATTTTCTTTTCACAATTATGTTTGTTACAGCAATGTATACTTGGTTTAAAAATCCTAATTGTATAGGAAGGTTTATAAGAACTCGCTTATTTGTCCCTTTCCATTCCAAGTCCCATATTTTATAATCACCAATATTTAACTTCCTTAGATGGGTGCCCCCATTTTTCAAGTTGCTATAAGCAGTAGATTTGGCCTCTCAACTCTTAAATATCAATAATAAGCTCCTATTCACAGTTTGCACAATTGCAGTGATCTGGATTATTAAGGGTCATACTTAAAATATACAAAATTTTTCATCATTATTAACATATATGCCTTTTGCTGTTTTCAGCACATGTACTTTGCAAGACCTCTGGGTTTTTTATGGTCATGACAAGGCACAGAGATTTCTCCCAGTTTTCTTGACAAAGAAAATATCATGGATTGGGCATTTGTGATGGAACTTTTATTCATGTGTTCCCCCTGGTTTATCTTTTAATGGCTTCCTGTTGACAAAACCCAAACTTATTAGTATAGAATCCAAGCCTTGTATTATTAAGTTAGAACTAAAATTTGAACCATAGTCTATCATGTTCCAAAGCCCATGCTTTTAAACTCATTATACTGCCTTTTATTTATACCATTAAAACTGATCAAATTGAAATTTTCCTAAACTTTGTAAAATTAAATAAGGTATTTTCATGGTTATCTTAATACTCTTTATTGCAATGTCATTATACAAAAATGTATCTTGGAATAAATGGATATCCATAAAGATACATGCATTTATTTTAATATGATTTAGTCTATCTTAGCGTGGTAATACGGTAAGCAGGCATCATGGAAAGTGTTGAAAGTTTTGGGTATTCAGTAAATTTACAGTTCTAAAAAAAATATTTGGATCTCAAAATGTATTCCTCTTGATAATTAATTATTTATATTTAGATATGATATTAAAAGCAAAGATGGATATCCAAAAGACTATTCAGTGTTTCCAAAAGATGACGCATATTTTTGTGTGAGCTACCCTGATTTTACTTCTGTTTTGCTTATCAGGCACGGATACCTTTAGTTCTTCAAATAACCATGAGAAAATATCCTCCTGTAAAGTTGGTCGAATAACACGGACTTCTAATAGAAGAAAGGTAAGTGTTTATATTTAGCACAATATACTTGTTTTTAAGTCTTGCAGTATATTTTTTTCTGTTTGTAGGATCAAATGATAATGGGTAAAATCTTGATTTGGTCAATGTCATTAAGACCTACTACCTTATCCTACCTAGCATATAACCCAGGATAATGTTTTCCTGATTTGATTTTAATTAATTTTGCTATAAGAAAAATCCAGTAAAACAAGATGCTTTCAGAGGTACTTTAATATAGAAGGTAATCTGTTTGAAAAGTTTGTTTGGGATCTATGTGATTTTATGAATTTCATTGAGGTGAAAGTAGAGAAGATCAGCATGGAATTAAAAGAGCCAGAATATGATATAAATATAACCTTTTAAAACTGTGCTTCAGTTTGTTTATTATTTAACACTGGGTTTCAACTTGGAGTTATATCTAAGCATAATTTCTGTTGAATATATGTCTTTTGCTATTATATTAAATTAGTTAAAATTGGATTTTTATCTATAGCATTGTAGTGGAGAAACATTCACTGTCATATGGTTTTTAGCTGATATGGTTGGATAATAAACCCAGAATTCAAACTTAGATAATCTAACAGTTTGTGATTTTTTTCTGTAACCTGAGAGTAGTTAGGTGTTAAATTATAGGTTCTCAATAAATATTTGATGAGTGAACAGGTCAACTAATTCTTAAGTTGCTTTTTCTTTCTTCCTTAATATAATTGGGCAGTATACATATGCTTCTGGGTCTGTGTTTGATAAATCAGAAATTGGTAATTACCGTTTCCTTCATTCGAATTTTGATTCACATGCTTCTGATGGAATTTGTGAATTAAGAAGAAATATGATGTAAAATGGTAGAAGCATCATGAGAAAAAAAGTGAGAGCTATATGTTAAAATGTAACTGCTTGTGGACTATCGGTATCCTTACTTTAAATTTTCTTTATAGCAATTGATCAGTTTTGCAGAAGAGAGTGTTTGCAACTTACTTAATACAGAAGCTCAGCCTTGTAAAGAAAAGAAAATTAACAGAAGGAAGTCTCAAGAAACCAAATGTACAAACAGAGCACTTCCTAAAAAGAACCAGGTAAGCATGTATATAAAGATATAATAAAGTATAGAAGCAGTGTGTTCCTTTGTTGTATGGTGAGGAAAATATACAAACAAAATTTTTTCCAGTTAATATTGAACCAAGATTATAAAAATAATCTTATCCCAGAGTACAATGGGCATAAGAGGTTGTATATTGTTAATTACTTGAGAGACATTTTGCACCTTCATCTTGTGTAGCGTACATCCAGCACAGTAAATAATAGGCACTCAGATGTGAAATTGATTCTCATCTTTGATTCTAACATCTCACCCTATTGGGAGTCCTCTGACTTTTTAGAAAGGGATGAGTGTGCCATCTGCTACTTGTTGGACTTGTCCCATATTTAAGCAGAGATTTAGAAACTATTTCTCTTTCTTCGTCAGCACTTCAGTCATCCCAGATGCCTTCACCATCCGTGTGGTTAGTCAGTCTAACACCTGAACCTGGTTCCTTTCCCCTCCCCACTTCAGTGATCTGGACTTCACTTGTCTCAAGCCACCTACTCACTCCTCTGCCGTCACCTATAACTTGCTACTACTTCACACCTTCCCAGTTCTAATGATACATATTCATACAGCTCATCTTCTGGCCCCAATCCCTTGTCTATTCTGCTTGCTCACTCCCTGCTCATGTGTTCTATAATAATTTTCTGGCTCCTCTATTTACTCTCAAGCTTTTAGGTACCCCTTGATTTTGTGTTTCCCGCTTCATCCCTCCAGCAAAATTTCAACTCTGCATTAATTTTTCCTCTCTCATCTAATAGTATCACTGGAGAGACTCACATGGGGCGGGGGTGGGGGGTACACTATAATTTCACTGTTTCAAGTATTATCTGAAGTCCAGTCTCATTCACCACCACTTGGCCACTTCCTTTTAATGATTGTTCCAAGGTATCTAGTAACTTAGTCCCTGCTCTCACTTGACGTCTCAGCAATACTTGACCTAACCAAACACTCCTTTATATTCTCTGTTAAAAGTTCATTTTCTTCCACCCATCCTGAAATGTTTGTATCCCCCAGAGTTCTACTCTTTGCCCTTGTAAATTTTTTATTTTCTGGGTAATTTCATATGCAGCATGGTTAGTGACCAAATTCAAAGACCAAATCTTCCTGATTGAAAAATATATATTCTATTGGACATCTTTTCTTAGAATGATCCTATAAGCACTTCAAAATCAACATTTCCAAAACTAAACTCACAAATCTCACCCCCCACATACATCAACACAAAACATTCTGTAAACTTCTCTCTTCTTCCATGAAATAAAAATATTTGCCTTTCTTGGTTGAATAGCACAAATATCAATAAATCATCAAATCCATCAGAAACTGGGTGTTTTAGTTTCTTTTGTAGGTCACACATTCTTTTGATAAAATGCTGAAAGGTCCTCTTGCTGAAAAAATGTACATAAAATCAAAAATATGCATATGGCTTATTACTGCATTGGAAATTGATTTTCTTCATGCATACACTTAAAAAAACTGTTACAAAGAATATACACCTATTTCTTTAAATAAAATCAGTGGACAGAAAGTTCAAGAAGGATTGAGCATTAAGTTGCTCCAGTCCCTCCCAGGACTAGGCTGAATAAATATAATTTATGTAATAAAGGGATAGACTTAGAATAGCAATAAGAAGAGGAAGAGAATGTGGAGGGGTCTTAAGCAACAGATGACAGCCTTCCATAAATTTCTGGATGACAAAGCATGTGGGAGCATGTTGACAGGTAAAAGAGGTAGAAAGATTTATAGTCGGGAATGTGCTAGGAGAGAGACCTGGAGAGCCCGCTGATGGGAGTTCCAAGAGACTTGGCCCAGAATTGGCAGATACAGTGGGTGGTGAGGGTGAGAGGTGGTGTGAAAGACGTTAACTGACGTCCTGTATGTGGAACAGTCTGCACCAGTTAGCATCCCCACCCCCTTGCCCCCCGCTCAGTTGTTGTCAGCTAGGTTAAAGTCCTGGTTCTGGCGTTTAGAAATGTCCCACAATCTTGACAGTCAGCTCTGGCCCTGAAGCAAGGCCCAACAATCAACACTTCCCTGTCCTGCCCTGCCCCACACAGAGTGCCCAGGTAGGATTTCCATGCAGGAAAGAGACTGAGCTTGGAAAGCAGAAGAAACCTGTACCAACCTATCCAATCTTTTCTTAAGAATCAGACAAATGAGCAGAACAATAGCATGAAAGAGAAAAGACCAATATTAATGAGTCAAAAATCTGACCCCAGAGAAATAGGTTATTATTCAAAGAATAGAAGGAAACTTCATATATATACACACTGACACGAGTGTGTGTGTATATGTATGTATGTGTGTATATATATATATGTACATATATTCATTCACGAATTCTGAAATACTCAGGTTTAAGGGAAAAAACTTTATAAAAATAAGAAAGGGAAGCAATGAAAAAGGAACAGAAAAAAAGTAATTGCAAAAGTATGAAATTTAGTAGTTGGGGATCTGGATGGTTATCTCAGTTGGTTAGAGCATGCTAATAACACCAAGGTCCAGGGTTCGATCCCCATACCAGCCAGCTGCCTAAATAAATAAATAAATGAAGTAAAATTTAGTAGTTGGACTAGAGAATATCGGTAAGGAAAGCGTCCCAGAAGGTAGAGCAAAATAAAGGCAATCTGGTAATAAGAGACATGGAAGACCAATCTAGAAGATTTCATAGGAATCTCAGAAATAAAGGAGAACATGGAATGGAAGAAATTATCCAAATCAAAGAGGAGAATTTCCCAGAACTGAAGAAAGGAGTCTTCCAGTTAAAAGAGCTACTGAATGTCTAGTACAGTGAAAAAAAAGGCCAGGACTTAGACATGTCAGTGTGAAACTAACAGTAAGGATAATGAGACGTGGGCTTTCATACAAGGAAACAGTGGAATCTCTCTGCTGAGCAGCAGCCTGATGCAGGAAGATCATTCAACAAGACATTCAAAGCTTGGAAGGAAATGTAATTTCAGCCCAGTATTCTACACCCAGCCAAAGTGTGGAGGAAAAATAAAGACATTCAGAACTCAGTTATTCTCCTTTCTTTGGATGTCACTGGAAGAGACACTCTGGCAAAATGAGGAAGCAAGCTAGAGAATGCAAGACTCGATGGATGTGAAAGTACAGGAGAGCAGTGCCAGGGGAATCACTGATTGCATCTGCTCAGCCAGCCCAGAAGAGCAGCCAGTCCACATTGGAGCAGGAAGAAAAAGTTCTCCAGGAGGAAGGTCACTGGAGGGAAAAACAAAGACCTAAGATTGCAAAAGTGGAATATGTCACATAAGGAACAAAAAATGTAATGATATGCCATTTCAAATAAAAGTCTGCATGAAAGTTTTGGAGCAAATATGAAGCAAACTACTAGTTTGTGTGATTTTAAGCAATAATGGAGTATAAGGAAAAGTATATTTTATAGTGCCAGGAATTATCTCCTACAAGGGGCCCAGAGGAAAGGAAGGAAATATGCGCTCTGAACTTGGCAGAGCAATGAAAAATGTTTGCACAGTCAATTATGTCAATGCTGTTTGTTTTTAACTACGGACATAATTGAAAAATTAAAATCAATGAGATATCACCTCACACCTAGTAAAATGGCCATAATCCAAATGATGAAAGATAAGTGTTGACAAGGATGTGGAGAAAAGGGAACGCTTGTATACTCTTGGTAGGGATGTAAATTGGTACAGCCATTATGGGAATCAGTATGGAGGTTCCTCAGAAAGTTAAAAATATAACTACCATTGTGATCTGGCAATCCCACTACTGGGTATATAACTGAAGGAAATAAACTCAGTACATTGGAAAGGTGTGTGCACTCCCACGATCATTGCAGCACTGCTCACAATAGCCAAGATATGGACTCAACACAAGTGTCCATCAATGGGTGAATGGATAAAGAAAATGTTGTATATATATGTACATACAATGGAATACTTTTCAGCGTTAAGAAAGAAGAAGTCTTGTCATTTGTGACAACATGGATGGCTATCATGCTAAGTGAAATAACCCAGACACAGGGAGACAACTGCATGATCTCACTTGTATGCGGAATCTAAAAGTCAGAGTCAAAGAAGCAGAGATTAGGGTGGTGGTTGTCATTTTAAATGTTCTTATCACAAAAAAAAAGTATGTGAGGTGTTGGATATGTTAATTAGCTTGATGTAATAATTTCACAATGTATACATATCAAAACATAGTATTGTACACCATAACATGTAACTTTTATTTGCCAGTTATAGAAATGATATTTGCATTTGTCAATCAAAGATGAGTGTAATCAAGCATCTAGATCTAGTTACCAGTTCACAGGAAGTAGAGGGGATAGAGGAATGTAGTGACACACTGTGACTACCGTCAACCAAATCCAGAGTTTGGCTCTTTCTACAGGATGGATGCTTTAGTTTATTCACTGAATAAACAGCAACAACAACAAAAAGAACTGTAGAGTTAAAGAGACTTATGAGGCATATCAGCCAGATGGTGGAATGTGTGGAGATCTTACTACGATCCTGATTTGCACAATTGTACTAAGAAATTTATGGGTCAAATGGAGAAATTTGAAAATTGCTGTCATTATGGTTTTTTTGCGTTCTGTTTATTAACATTTTTATTTTGAGATCATTTCAGATGCACATGCTATTGTAAGAAGTAATATGGATGGATTGATTCCAAGTACCCTTTACCCAGTTTCCCCTAATGGTGACATCTTGCAGAACCCTAATATAATACAGTATCACAACCAGGGTATTGATGCAGTCAGGATGCGGCACATTTCCATCACCACAAAGATCCCTCCATTGCCCTTTTGTGGGCACATCCCACCCATAACTGTGCCTCATCCCCTGGCAACCATGAATCTTTTCTGCAGTTCTATAACTTTGTCGCTTCAAGAATGTTATATAAATGAAGTCATATACCATGGAACTTTTGGGACTGGCTTTTTTTCACTCAGCACAATTCTCTGGAGATTTGTCTAAGTCATTATGTGTATCAATAGTTAGTTCCTTTTTAGTGCTGAATCATATTTGTCATTGTTTTTGAAAAGAAAAAGAACCTTATCTCAAAGACCATAGGATTTTTAGATATAATGATATAATGTCTGGGATTTGTTTTAAAATAATCTGGGAGAAGGGGATTATAAATGAATGAATCATGATTTTTATATATTAGTAATTGTAGTTGATGGGCACATGGGGTTCAATATACTATTCTAATTTCGGGGTACTTAAAATTTTCTGTTATAAAAAGTTAGAAATTTAGCAGTATGAGTATGAACCCCTCTGGAGGGAGCTAGCCACAAGAAGTAAAAGTGGAACCAGTAATTAAGTAAACATCAGGGGTAGGGAAGTGGGCACTTTATCATTATAAGCTCTCCTGCCCAATGTGATTTTTTGCCATGTGCATGAATTTAAGTAATTTTAAAGCTGTTTTCTGAGAACTATTTTTAAAAGTTTTAATGGTGCAAATAAGGTAAAAGATATACATTTACTTCTGTTCACGACCTTCACTTTATGAGAAGTACTAGCAATGTTACAGTGAATGAGGTTGCTTTAGGTTGTCCTTTGTCTGCTCCGAATCATAAACCAACCTGTTTCGGGATCACATGGCTTCTCTGATGTTTCCAATCATATGTGCTTCTTTTGTTTATTATATTACAAACAAGGCTTTGGTACTGGGGTAAATTGAAATTTTTGACAAGTTTCTAGCCTTTGCTGACGAATTCTTATTATGGATAAGAACAGCACTGTTACATATATTTTCAGGACAGACAGACCTGAGGTGCTTTAATTATTTATGTTTTTTGGGTGCACTTCTATTGGCCCATGATAATGAAAAAACAGAATTTTAATTTTTTAACCACGTTTAGCAAATTTTATGTAAGTTTACCTTTACTTGTTTTTCTCTGGCATTCATTTATTTGCTCATTCATTTCTGTTGAGTGGGCACTATGTGCAAGGCACTGCTGTAGGCACAGGGGACCTGTCACAAATGAAGATTTCCAAAATCATGCCAAAAGGGGATTTCTTTTTCCTTAGCTATATATCAGGAACTATTCTAGAGGTTATAACCTGGTGACATTGACCACTGTATATTCACTGACCATGTAGGGCCTGTGCCCTACAGTAATACTAATGGTATAATTTCATATTAAAAATTAAAAGTATGTGAGGTAATGATTATGTTAATTAGCTTGATCCAGCTATTCTATGATGTATACATATATCAAAACATCATGTTGTGTGTCATAAATATATATAATTTTTATGTGAATTAAAAAAATTTTTAAAAATATTTTTCCCATATCAATTCTCAAAGTGATAGGAAGGGATTTGGAAGAACAAGAATAGCTAACACACAGCTCTCACTGTGGATCTATCCCCGTGTTAACCATTTCACTCGTTTAGAACTCACCACAGCTTTATGTGTTACATGCTGCTGTGAATCCCATTTTACAGAGGAGGAGAATGAGGTACAGAGAGTTGAGGTGACTTGCCTAAGATTGTAAAGCAGATAAGTCAGGATTTGAACCCAAGGTATCTGGCACCAGAGGCTAAATGTTTCTCTTTTGCAAATCATCTATGAACCCCAAGTAAAGGTTTTTCTTTTCTCTTGGCTTCCACATCCGTTGACCAAGCCAGCATTTCTCCAGCTGTCCCATGGAATGTCAATAGATGTTCCATGAAAAAACATTTAGTGGAAAAATATTTAACCCAGCGTTTTCCTAATGTGTATAGAGATTATTTATACTGAGGACTTCCCAGGAAATTTAATGTTACATGTATATTGTAAATCACCAAGAGGAACATTCATCTTGCACAGTTCTAAAATTATTTTTCCATGGAGTGTTTTGTTTTTATAGGGTATCTGTAGATATCTCAGGGAACACAGAGTTCTGTGCCATTTCTGTACTCTTGAATCTTATCCATTCTTTCACGTTTATTTCACCTAAATCTTCCATGCTGTCACCCACATGGTCTTTCTTAAATGTAAGCTCGAGTGCTGTCACTTCCTACATCACCATGCAGTGAGCCCTCATGAGTCTCATTTGCGTGCAAAGGCCCCATCTCCTTCGTCAGCTTCTTCAGCCACTCCTTCCTGGATCCATGACCCCAGACTGCCACGTGCAGCCCTTTTGCTGGGCCAGGCCGCCCACTTTGAGCTCGTGAATATGCCATCCATTCCCTTCCCTTTGAATCGCCCTTCTGCCCCACCCCCATGATCAGTCAGCCAGAAAGTTCTGACTTGTTTGAGATTTGACTCAGATCTGTGTGTCCTGTCCTGAATGCTATCATCAGCCAGGTATCCACCCTCTCAGTCCACAGAGTCTGTCATGGTACGTATTTATTCTAACTATTTGCCTTTATACTAGGAGCTCCTTAAAGACCATATCCTATTTGTTTTTAGATCCCACACCTGGCATATAGCAGTTTCTCAAAAAACATTTGAAGGAATTCCACTTTCTGGGAGCATTCATTGTTGAAAACATGTTTATGTTGACCTAAAGTCTGGTTCTCCGACATCACCAGATTGAATATATTTCATTCCTTTTTCTCATAACAACCTTTCTAGCATTTCAGTACAGTATTTGAGTTTCCCTGAAGATTTTCTCATGAAATTTTTTTTTAACATAGAGCATTATTTTTCAGTTGCTCATATGGCACTCAGAATTGAACATAATACTGCATTCTGGATATTATTAAAGCAATTTTAATATTTTATGGAAACTCACTTTTTCTATCAATTATTACCAAAGTTTTGTTCCTCATTTTCTACTTGTGCTTGTTAAAATCCATCTTATTTTGATATGATTAATGCATCTGTTATTTGAATCAGTTCAGCTAGCTTTGCACACACACACACAAAAGTCTCCCACAGCCTTTCAGTAGATAACTCATGCTAGGTTAATCCTGAGTCATCATAACTACATCCTAGTTACATATATCTCATGTTTAAAATTTGTCCAACTCTGCCTGATCTGATCTACTTCTTTTCACTTATCCAGGCAAATGCTTTGTGAAAGAATAGAAAGCCACTGTACAATTTATAAATTGAATTCTGCTTCACATTTTACTTGACTTTATATAAGTTACCCCCGACTCAAATACATAAAATTTTAAATGGAATAACTGATCTTAAGTTTTTCTGTAAAATTATCTTTAAAAAGAAACACTATATGAATACTCATTAGAACTGTTGTAGAAGCTAAAAGGTCAAAATTGTACATGGTGCTACATCTTTCTCAATTACAGTGTTTTAAATACATTTTCTCAGGTTTTAAAAAGGTGCAGAAAGAAGAAAGGAAAGGGAAAGAAAAGTGTCCAGAAATCTTTATACGGAGAAAGAGACATTGCTTCTAAGAAGCCCCTCCTTAGTCCAATTCCTGAGCTACCTGAGGTCTCTGAGATGACCCCTTCCGTTCCGAGCGTCCGAAGGCTGTGTTCAGGTATCCTCTTTCCTGTTCGTTATGTTTTCTCTCTTCTCTTCACCCTCTTTGCTGCTATCTCACTCTTTTTTCCTGTTTGCTATGTAAAGAGCACATAAATAAAAATCACATCATTTCCTCATATTACCATGAGAATTTTAAGTGGAGGAAGCAGTAGTTTGTAACTTTCAGGTGGCTCAGACCATTTTCAAAATCTGATAGAAGCTCTGGATTCTCTCCCCTGGGAAAAGGCAGGTGCAAGATTTTGCCTGTAATTTCAGAGGAAATAATTTCTGTTCATCCCATTTCTTTTCACTTTTTAAAGCATTTTGAAATGAATTCCATTTGGTGGTGTAGGCCATCATTAAAAGCGAGCGAGGTGAAGGCTCATCATAATTATATTTTATATAAGGATAAAGACTTAAAAAATTTTAGAAACTTACCTCATTATGTTTCATTAGAGTTGATACTACTAAGTACTGTCTAGAAATGTTTATAGATTTCACTTCATTACCTCAAAAGGTTTGTCTATTAAGCAAAAGTCAAGTGGTTGATATCCTGGTTAGATAAATGTCTTTTGATTGCTTCTGGTTTGTAATGCCCAAGTTTTAAACTGACTAAATCATGCTGAACATAATAAGGATATGTGCCAATATGGTGAGTTGATTTTTTTTGTAGAATCATTTAAAAAATATCTGCCTTTGTCAATGATCAGATAGTATATATAGCCTGCCTTCTACTTGCAATATACTGTATAGGATTTATAAAAGACTCAAGGATGAATGAGGTACAAGGGTACTTCAGAAAGTCCATGGAAAAATAGAATTAAAAGACAATGAGAATCTTTCCATGAGCTTTTTGAAGACACCTCGTATGTGCTACTGTGGACTCTTGGCTTCTGCGCACTTCTTAACTTCAGGATAGCATGAGAGTTTAAATCATTGATCACCCCCCAATCACACACACCAGCTCATGCTCTTCTCCTGCCACTGCTTCTTCATGTGGGGTGTCTTGGGGTGGGGGGCTCCTATCCATCTCTTTGTAATCTGGCCTAATGCTGCATATCTTTTGAGATTTCGCTTTCCTATCTGCCTTTCCAGAACACTCTGCCTTGCACCTTTTTCGCCCAGTTCTGCGATGATCTCTTTTCTGTCCATCTCCTCCCCATCCAAGCTGCAGTCTCCTTAAGAGTGGAAACTGAGTCTTGTTGTCATTATACCCTAGTTCCTAGCAGGAATTTTTGAAAGATGTTTAAACAGTAGCTGTTAGTATAGTTTTCCATCTTGCATTCTATTAGAGAATTTTTTTAAAAACTTCCAGAAGCGTTTTTTATCTATAACCGGTGGTATTACCTCCTATGAGAGTTTCAAGTAGTTTTTTTCTTCCTTTCTCCCCATCTTATCTCTCTGTCTCTCTTCCTCCCTCCCTCCTTCTCCCCCTTTCTTCTCTAGTATGTCGAATTTTATGAAAAATACATAAATGTTAATTTTTAAAGCTGTATAAAGAACCCAACTGACAAATTAGTTAATTGGCATTGAGTGGACCCTGAGATATGTTAATCTCTAGCTTTACATGAGGCGATTTTAAGTACTCTAATTATGCATATATTTTCAAATTGAAACATTTTTTAGACTTTTGGCTCAGCTTATGTTTTGTATATCTTTCAGTTTTTTGTTTAAGACATTTTTTTATACTCATCTGACTGGCCAGTGAAAAATGTTATTATCTGAGATAACAGGAGAGACAGCATCTAGTCATCCTGAGATTTAGAACTCATGAAGCCTCAATTCATTTAGGCTGTGTTGCTTACCAATCTTAATACCTCGATGGTGGGGGTTTTGGGGTTTTTTTTTACATGTGACTTGCCAGAAACCCATGAAAGAGTGCTCATAGCATGTCTTCCTGGGAGATGCAGTTTAGTCAAAGATTGAGGAATAGGGGTAGATTTTTCAAATATCGAAACAAATATGGCTCTGAGAGTTCGGTATACTTTACAGTATATTTTTTTTAACAGAGGGCATGAGACCTTAGTGTCGTCAGGCATGCCTCTTTAGCTGCTAAGTCCTCAAATTATCCAGAATTCCAAATTTTCACTCCTCTGTTTCAGAAGATACGTTGATAGAAAAGTTTCAGAAGCATGAGGTTGCCCCATTTCCAGTAATTCATTTTAAGGGAAAGGGGAATATGGCTGCCTCGTGTTAGTGGCCCTTGTTGCGTGGGAAGTTAGTTGGAACGGAGAAAACAGCTCAAGATACCAGGCTCATTTTCATGGTCTTTATTAATGTGTGCTTTATAACTCATGCATTGATTACCTATTTTTTTAACCTGTGGGAAGAACTAGTAGAGAAGGAGGACGATGACAGGTGGGGACAAGTACAGTGTAACATTTGTAGATCTTGTGATTTTTGAAACAGAATACACTGGGGCACCTCTTCATTTAGTAAACTTAAAGTTTATTTCCATTGCTACTTTTTAAGTAGTTTTAAACTTATTTCATGCACACAGATGATTTCAACTCAAATGGTAAAAATGAAGAAGTGAAGCTTCCTAAAAATCCAGTTAAAAGAAAGAATCTCTTGCCCAAGAACCCAGAAGATTTGCATACGAATCAAGGCTTTGATACTAAATACGATGTGCCTGAATTCTGCTGCTCTTACATCAAAAGCTCCTCATCTCTTGGTAATGTTACTTTTGACGGAGATCCAAATACAAGTACTGTGGATGTTGATGAGAATAAAAATATTTCAAAAGCAGAAAATAAGTTGGAAAGTGAAAATAAACCAAAAAGTGGGACTGAGGCTGAAAATAGCCCTATCTCTTGTACTTCTGGGACAGGAGGACACGTTGTATCCGATAACCCAAAACCTAACTTTATGCTGCAGTGGCAAGAATTTTCTGCTGCTAATCAAACTTCGGAAAACCTTTGTCAAATCTTTAAAATTTCAGAAGATATAAAGTGTGAAAAACAGGATTTCTTAGTAGCTCCAGAGGGGAAACTGCAGTGCAATTTAATGCCCGACTCACAAAGAGAATTTAATTGTTTAGAAGATGTCTTACTTGAAAATATAAAAGAATCTAAAAGTCAAAGTGAAGATTTGGGAAGAAAATCCTCTGAAAGTAGCAGCTTTATGAATCGTAGAGAAAGGAAACATAGAAGACGCTCTATGTGCTGTTTTGATGCTCAGAGTTTATCTTTGGAAGAAAACAGAAATCACAAGCCTTCCTACAGTGTGGGCAGCTCTGTAGAAACCAGAGAAACCAGTTTAGAAAATCCCGAACTGTACAAAGATTTATCTGACGCCATAGAGCAAACCTTTCAGAGAGCAAACGGTGAAACCAGAGTGCGACGTAGCACTAGGCTCCGAAAAGATTCGGAAAACGAAGGGCTTGTGTGGATTTCGCTTCCATTTTCTCCCACTTCCCAAAAAACCAAAAGGAGGACAATATGTGCATTTGACAGCACAGAGTTTGGAAGTGTGCTTCCCAGGAAAGAAAGAGTGTCCTCTGGGCAACATCAGTGTACGGTGCTGTCCGTCCCAGGTACAGAGAGCAGCGAGAGCTCTGCCGTTCGTTCTTCTGATCCACCTGGGGAGAGGAGGGAGAGCTGCTGTGCGTGGACACTTGCAAATGCTGGCACGACTGCTCAGTCCAGACGCTGCAGAAGAACCACCCTTCTCTTCCAGAAGGGAGGACGCTCTCTAACTGACTTGGAAAGCATTGAACCCAGCGGAGAACTAAATCAGTAACTACATTTCCTGCAGAGCATTTTGGCAAGAGAAGGTAACCATCCACACCTGAAAGATTCATTCCTACTACTTCCCATCCTTTGTTCAACTTTGAAATTTAAAAATTTCAAATAAATGAAATCATTTGAGTCGAACCTACTTTTAAATAGAAATAAACGAATTTCTTTATCATTCAAAAAGAAACATTCTGTTAAGTATGTTCTCTCTCCCCCCCCCCCCCCCCCCCCCAGATAGTAAATGCTATATTAGTATTTTACTTAAAGGGTTGTT